AAAAAAAAAAAATTAGATACCCTCCATCTCAATTTATATAGCAGTATTTATTTATTTGATTGGAGATGGAGTTTAAAATTAGAAAGAAAAAAAAAACAAATAAGTAAGCAAGAATGTAACCTGGAGTAACTTTAATAATTGGAGTGTATTTGTAATCCCCAATAAATCCTGGGACTGTTGCATACAAGTTATATATACCAGATATGACATTTTTTATGATGAAGTTTCCTTTAGTGTCTGTTTTAGTCCAAAATTGGTAACCCTGAAAATTTAAAACAAAATTTTTATATATATAACATTTTTATGAATTTTATCAGAGGAAATTCAGGAGAAAAACAAAGGAAGTGTACTGAAAAACTTAGGAAATTAAAGTTTTAAAAAGCTTGCCACATACAATTAAACACCTGAAAAATACATATAAATTATTTTACACTTTACTTTATTTTCTATTTGCCATGATCCAGCGTCTCCAGGTGGCGCTAACCCTATATATGCATTAGATGCAGGTACATCTCTTTTATTGATAAACCTTTCAAAAAAAGGAAATAATATTAGTCAGTCAATCAATAAAACAAGTTACCTGCAAAAACAGGTAAAAGTTACTTGACGGTATAAGAATTTCTTACAATAACGATGTATATAACTTAAACTCTTAAAAGTACTCTCTTTACATAGTAATACATATATAATATGGTTGCAGACTATGTTGCTCGGACTCTTCAAAAATGTCGTCGAGTGCATGTCAAATACTCCAAAACTAGTATATTGTTGGAGGATCCGACACCAGTGCTGCAGCATTTTGAAGATTCCACGCAACATAGGTCGTAGATATTAGAGAAAGAATACTGAAGAAAAGTACCAGTCATTAACAAATAGTTGGCCTGTAACTGTTCCTCTTTGGTTAGATTTGATGTAATCTTGTGAAAGTGGAAATTCATAAGGCCAACTTGCAACTTCTTGATTCATCTGTAAATTTGATCATTCGTTAGAAAAATGATGCCAAAATTTGTACTCCCTTTGTTTCATTTTACGTGGCAAGGTTCGAAGTATATAAGAGTCAGCTCAGAATATTTCAGTACATATATTTGTCGCATAAATTGAAACAGAAAAAGTATCAGAAAACTAGTACGAGCTCATTAATACATACTCTTTTCTTCGCATCAGTCCACAATATAGAAGGATTTTCCTTAGCTGAAGCATCAGAGTTAAGATACACAAATACAGGGCCAACAACTTTTTTCCATGCTTCTCCATGTTGAAATTTAATTGCTAAATCTTCTCCTGCATAATGTGTACTGAAAAATACCTGTGATAATTATGAATATAATATAAAGTTAAGATCTACACTTAATTAGAAGTAAAAGAAAATTAACAAATGATACATATAATTGAGTGCCATGTGACCAGCTGGAGGTCACAGGTTCAAGCCGTAGAAACAGCCTCTTACAGAAATGCAGGGTAAGACTGCGTACTATAGACCCTTATGTCTGGCCCTTCCTCAGACTCCGCGTATAGCGGGCGCTTAGTGCACCGAGCTACCCTTTTCTATACATATAATTGAGTAAATAATTCATCACTTACACTAAGAACAGTTGGACCAACATGTGAAGTAAGGTCTTGTTTAAAAGGTCCTCCAGTACGAAATTCATTTCTTGGATTAATCATCCAAAATCCTACTGGAGGATTACTACATACCCATCCATGAACTTTATCTTTTATGTTATCATTTGCGTAAAAGTACTTGTCATCTACCTGCATATAATAGATTTCGAACTCAATAAATTAAACGAGGTATGGTAAAATCATGAACTTGAAACGTAACATAAAGTTCAAATCCAAGATCCAACTATATATATAAATAATGCTTTCGATATCATATCCCTGGATTATGAAATGATTAATCCTCTCGAATTATCTAATAATTAGCTTCAACAATTGCTTGCTAATTTTATAGTTTTGTAGCTACACCACGGGCGAACTGGATTCATAGAGGATGGGCTCACCACTAGTTTGATAGTATAAAATAATAGAATAGATGGGCTCGACAAGGATCAATCCTTGGTCCCTAGGGAAAAATCTCAGCTACTTAATTAGTGAACCAACACAACAAATCCAACCATCGGCTCACAAAAGTAGTATCTAGACAAATTATATGAATTATACTCGTAATATACACATTTTTTGTCGAAGACCACGAGTTCACGTGAACCCTTTGGTAGACTGTAAATCCGCCCTAGACATCACCCTCTTTAGGTAACAAGTATTGAACAATGAGATTTTGCCACGGTCATGTCTAACTGTTAAGATATTGTTAGCTTTGGTCCTATCTCTCTAGCCACCTAAAGGCTTTTGGATCTCACAGTTTTGATCCCTTGGCTTCCTGCTTAGAATGCGCGAGTAACAATTGAATTCTTATCTCGACCTTATATATATAGTCCCTAACTTTCTCCTCCCATTCTGATGTAGGATTTGCCTTAGGCAAGTTTCACAGCGAACCTTTGTCGAATTCAACCGCCAGCTGTTCGTGAACTGTTACAGTTTGTCTTCCAACCTACCTATGCCCATTCTAGCCCCATCAACATAGGTGGCCCATGTTAACCTTTAGTTTTTCAACTAGAGGTTTCGAGTTCGAGCTTTGTATAGAGTCACTTTTCTTATGGAGCGCTTTATCCCCTATTGTGGGACTTTTCAGTAAGAGTCCGTATTTAGTCGAACCCTGATGCAGATACTAGAAACTGAATGAAAAACAATATACCTCTCCTTTTAGATCTGGATTGGCTGGATTTGTAAGTAGAACAGCTTCTTTAAAGCCAAGCACCTTTCCTTTTTCTCGATCCTCTTGTGTTGGCATGACACGTTGCCTCTCATCCGAGACAGCCATGTAATGAAACCTATTCATAAATATGCAATTTCAATACAAAATATATCCAACTTTTGGAATTGGGAATAGATTTAAAAATGTATTTTTCGTTAATAATGAGAAATTTTAGATAAATTACATGTCTTGAAGCTTGAACACAACATTGAGTTGTTGGATAATCGTAGGGGGATATTCTTTTGAACGTTCAATCATAGCATAAGTATAAAATCCTGGCGTGTCGCGTCCCATTACGATCCTGAAAAATTGGTCTCTTGAAATATTAGCAAGATATAATGTTTATACACTGACATGTAAAAGAATATTTACGTTATTTGTCTAAACGATAACTATAAGATCGTTCATATAAGTAAAATTATCAACCTGGAAAATAAGATACGTTACATGTTACGATATGATAAATTAGTAATATAGTGCAAAACACATCACCTTCTGTCAAAGTCTAGGGGAGGTTCATCAGTTTGAGAAGAATTCCAAATTCTTTTAAATGAAATTTCTGTCGTGTTTCCGTTGTTCGATATGATCTCAAAACTTGTTGCTGATAACCTGCATAATATTAATTAGGACATAATTTTAGTAATTGTTTTTCGTCAATGTTAATTTATCAATTTTAGACCAGAAGGTAAAGATTAATACTGTTTTCGAGCTGTTCCATGTCCTGTAAGATTCCAAACAGAAATCCAATACCTGAAATCATCATAATATAGTATTACATTTAATTATTTTCTTCATTAAAGAAACTCGAAACTTATATTTAAAAAAAGAAGAATAATCTGAATAGCCGTCCACTCAATCGCTTATATTAAAAGTAGTAATCAGATGTATAATATTATATGTATAATATGTGTATAATTATGTATATTTAATGTATAATATGTATACCCTCTATCAGTTTCGACAAGTTTGGTATCTAATATGTTATTGATACCACCATATGATATGCCTGTTATAAGGCCATCTGGTTTCGATAAAGTAACATTGACGAAGCCATTGCTTATTGTTACCTGAAGAGGACATGAAAAACGATGTGAGAACCTAAATAATGTACAAAGGTTAAAAAACACAATGCATTATAGGAGTAAATTCATGTATGATTACTAAGCTTTATTCACTATAATAGTAAAACCACAAAATTATATATATTTTATCATTTTGAAAGAGTATTTGTCGACCTGAGATGTAAAGCTCTTGTTACTATAATGCTATCATATCGTGAAAAGTATGAAAATAGACCGTTCAGATTTCTTTTTCATCTTGTGTTGGTTGTAGCCGTGGGAGGTGGTGACTCAATCAAAAAGCATGTGACGACACAATCAACATATCAGCCCTTACTCGCATCCGATCGAGAAGGTTGGTATCGACAGGTTGAAGTAATTAAATTCTATCCACTATAACAGTAAAGCCACCAAATTAGATAACTAATACGGTAAAACTTACCGATCATAGCGACTTTACTATTATAGTGAATATAAAGTTTTGTGACTTACTGATATTATAGGTTAAATTCAGTAATTTTAATTTGACAAAAATAATTTTGTGACTTTAATGTTGCAGCGAATATAATTCATGCAGTTGAATTAATATGGCATAATTACAATACAAATAGAAAAAAAAAAAGTTTGCTAAACATAGATTTACATCATTAGGTTGTATCTCCAATTTGACATCTGGCATTATTGTCAATCTTCGCCTGTTTTAAACAATTTAAGAAGTAGCAAGTCAGAATATAAGTTGAATTTTAATAGCAAAATGCTTTTGCTATTAACTTAAATTAAAAAAAAATAACGGATTACAGATATAAAATCAAATAAAAGAAACAGAGACTAACCCATTTTGAGGTCGACAATCAGCCACTAACAAGAATAATAAAGCAACCACAGTAACCTCCAAAATATGTACGCTTAGTTGCTTATTCTTCCCCATTATCTACATTTTCACACAAAATATTTGCTCTGGAATTTAAATAAAAATATTGGATTACTATTAAATCAAAAATCTTTTTACTAGCTTGATTTACGTGTTAATATATCATGTTCTAATAAGGAAATAGAATTGAGAAAACAACGTTTATTTGTTTTATTTTTGGTTTCAGACATGCAGGCTAAAACGTTTTATTTGGGCCAAATACGTGAAAACTCGTATAACTTTACAATTATAGTAAATGAATTTAGAGTCTGTTTGGCCAAACTGCTGTTTATTTTGAAAAAGTACTTTTGCAAAATAGCATTTTGTGTTTGGTCAATTCGTTTGTGTAATGCTTTTTGTAAGCTTGTTGTGTTTGACCAATATTTAAAAAGTACTTTTAAGTATCAAATTATGAAAAAGAACAATAAATATTCAATTTGCGATTAGTATTATTTAGAAAAGAAAAATAAATTTAAATATTTATTATAAAAAAATTCAATTATAATATAAAACGTAAAGTAAAAATCATAAATGAAAAATGCCAATCAATATAAAATATAGTTATTTCAAAGCAATAACTTCGAATGTGCTTGGTATTACTTATTGTTTACATGATAATTTAAATATGTCAAAATATATCATTCAATATAAATTTAAAATCTACTCTTAGGAAT